GCGGCTCTCTGTCCCTGGAAAAGTCTGCTGTAATCCTCTTTCAGGCCACAGATGTAACTCACAGCTTCACCCCAGACTTTCTTCAGCACCACCAGAGGCAGCTGCGTCTTGGCGTCTTGCACTGCAAAGGTAAAGTGTGACCCACGACAATTTGAGTCTACTGTCATCTACTAGACTAGGTAGCGTCAGCGTAGAAGTCGCTTAAAAAAAACTCACCAATAGTGTTGACTTTCTCCGACAGCCGCCTGGCACTGAAGGGACCAGAGTACTTGGTGATGCTCTTGTCAAACAGGTAGACAATGTAGCTGTCCCATCCTCTCTGCACAGGAGGAAAGAAAATCGCCACTTAGACAGAGTGAAAACATCTTTCTTGTGCTTCAAATAAGCCGTACTGTGCTATTCGCGCCCCTCAACACTCATTGAGTGAGTGTGAGATGAGTCACAATGCTTGCAGATGTCGCTTTTTCTGTATTGTTTTCATATTTCTCTGTACTTTCACACATATTTCTGTTCTTTTTTGTTCATGTCTGCAAGATAAAAGAATTCTGCATTTACTACAAGCGGAGAGCTGACAGAAAAAAATCCAGCATGACTCTAGACAATGGTCTGCTTCTACTGCATCTACAGTACTCCGCTTTTAATGAGAAAACATCAACTGTCTTCAAACCTGCACACTCCGTTAGCTTTCAGGTGAAAGATCTTAAACTTTCTGGGTAAGAGTTCAGGGTAGGCTGAAACTGTTTGTGCAGCCTTATCAGATGAAAGCAAGGTCGTGCCCAACTATTCAGGGGAAGTGTGAGACAGTCTTCTTCCCCCGGACGTCTAACTAGCAAGTAGAAATGTGTTAAAATGCTTCAGAAAAACACCAGAAAGACGTGCTGACTTGTTCTGTTGTTGACAGATTTCCACCACAACATCCGCTGATGAAGGTTTTAACTTTAACAGTTTGTCCAAAAAACACCCCTCAAAGCTGCAGTGTTGCAATGAACACTCATTATCAGCAGGTTTATAGGCTGGGATCGATGCCAGGTGAAATAGAAGCTCTCCTCCTATGTGTACAGTAACTTCATCTGCAGACCAACAACTCAACATAAATAAAAAAGATCTTCTCAGGGGGTTAAAGAATACTGCAGCTGTCACAAATGATTCTAAAGTTGTTTTTTTTAAAACTTGGAACAACAATGAAATCTAAGCTGCACTGGAATCGACGTACCACTCCGTCCAGGACACACTGTGCTGCAGGCTTCCTGGGGTCCAGCGACACGCCCGTCTCCTGCAGCAGCTCCTGGTTCACCACCTCGATCTTGGTCTCGGTCTCGATTCGCCTCTGCAGACTGTGAAGACTCTCGTCCGGAGTCAACTGGAAAGAGTGGACCTGAGCGGTGGTCATGTTCAGGATGTGGACGACCTGAAGGGAGCAGAACAAAACAACATAGTCAGGCTGCAACATTAATCAGTTAATCGCGGTTTTAGCTTCTTGCACTTAAATGAACCTGATTGACAGCAATATTGACATTTAATGCTCATAGAAAACTCTGCTGCATATCAATTCTAGTGCTTCCTAAGCTAACAGCCAGCCACCAGGGAGTGATGGAGCTGTTTCATAAAGCTCCTGCCTGTCCAAACATTTCCTGGATGTGGCAGTTCAAAGCAAAAGAGTGACATACAACAGAGAGCAG